TTGCTGCATAACTGTTCTTGGTGCAGAATGAAATGGGATGAAAAGAAATTTGGATACTGGATTTTACTTCAGCAGAGAAACTAGCTCCTTCTCTTTTCCAACCACGGACAGAATGTCATCAGTGGTTACCAAAGCATTGATTCGAAGCAACTTACATTTTCCTGGTCCTTCAAAGAAACGCTATCAGCGCAGAATAAACGTCCTCTCCCCTACTTTGACCCATAAAAGGCAGCAGAGTAAGCATTTCTTCTATATACTTTTAGCCATTGAAAAAATGCACCCATATTATGAGCTGAGATATGTCTGACTGATCAGTATATTTGTCCATTGCCAGATTGAAACACAAAGTGCTGTCAATGCCTTTTAGCAATTTAGAAAACATGGCCAAAAATGCTTTCAATTAGTCTTACTACAGTTGAATCAGTCACTTGCTGTATTGATGTTTAACTATATCATCCATCTTTTTAAATTCTGCACACAAAAAAAAAAATCATTCACTGCAGCCCAAGAAGCACTGCTTCATCAATTCACATTCAGTAAGAGGTCTTTTTGATTCTGCTATGTGCCAAGCCATTTTGAAGAAAGCTTCTGTAATGGCAACATTGTCTTTCACTTGCAAACAGAACATATCTTGTGAGTACAGTAACCTTCTAGTAAGGAACATATTTTACTTTATTAAATTGCTATCAGGTGGATAGAAGTCTTTGAACTCAGGGTGACAAGATTCATGGTGCCATTGCAGGTTTGTTTTATTTAACACAGCAATAAGTCTTTTGACAAAGAATCATAGAATACTAGGACCGGAAGGGACCTCGAGAGGTCATCGAGTCTACTCCCCTGCCCTCATGGCAGGACCAAATACGGTCTAGATGATCCCTGATAGACATTTATCTAATCTACTCTTAAATATCCCCAGAGATGGGGATTCTACAACCTCCCTGGGCAATTTATTCCAGTGTTTGACTACCCTGACAGTTAGGAACTTTTCCTAATGTCCAACCTAAACCTCCCTTGCTGCAGTTTAAGCCCACTGCTTCTTGTTCTATCCTGAGAGGCCAAGATGAACAAGTTTTCTCCCTCCTCCTTATAACACCCTTTTAGATACCTGAAAACTGCTATCATGTCCCCCCTCAATCTTCTCTTTTCCAGACTAAACAAACCCAATTCTTTCAGCCTTCCTTCATAGGTCATGTTCTCTAGACCTTTAATCATTCTTGTTGCTCTTCCCTGGACCCTCTCCAATTTCTCCACATATTTCTTGAAATGCGGTGCCTAGAACTGGACACAATACTCCAACTGAGG